GGGGGGGGGGGGGGGGTCTACATTGGCCCATAGACTAGCGTTTACGTGTAAGTCATGCACCATACCTTGTCGACGACATTAACTTCCTGAACGTAGTCCAGGGCTTGTTTCACTATATCTGCATCTCCTATCTGCGATGCTTGGCGCAGAAAATACTCTGCAGACTTCTGAAATCAAAATCATATATTTTCAAAGGTAGTTACTGCAATCCCAAATAAGTTTGTCTAAGTAAGCGTTTAAAAATTGAATATGTAGTTTAATATATCACAACCATACATAATTTGAAGAAGTAGAGGATATATGTTACTTCTAAAATAAATTCTTCTTAACCAAGTAAATTTGAGCAATGTTATAAAGGCAGACACATTAAGCATCTCAATACAACTATGCTCAGGATCACCCGAAAAAAACTCTTTATTTTCTCTATCTGTGATCCCCTTATAAACTGAAAAAACATCGAATTTGTCATCTTCATGAAATTTCCATCTGGATTTGGAATTGAAACAAACAAGTGTTTTAGCCCTGGTATAAAAGATGCTCATTTTTTATATGAGCCCCTGCTTAGGATTGGGCTTCGTTTGTACTCTTAATAGGGACATTTTCAGACCATAATCTAGTAGTCGGTCATGTTTATTCCTGCCATGGGGTAGCTGCTACATGTTCACTCAGGATGGCCAGACAGATAAAATGAATTTTTTTGTACAAAAACACACCAGAGGTAAACTTGTAAGGTCTAACAGACAATGTCAAACAGCTTGACATCATTCTAAACCCACCTACTGAACAGAGTGCAATTGCAGTAGGGAATTTTGTAAGTAAAATTATGAAAAAACGTACTTAACTAAAAGTGCACAAATGATTTCATGCATCTCACCTGCATATTAAGAGAATGTATATTGTGTAACATTATATAAGTATATTTTTTTCTCTTTCATTTACTTACTATCCTTACTGTCTTTCCATATGTATAATATATAGTAGCTAGAGAGCCTCTATATGTAAAAACATTTCAGTGCTTAAATTATAATTATTATTATTATTATTATTATTATTATTATTATTATTATTATTATTAAAAATGACGACACCAAATAACCGTAGGTGTTTCAAAGGAAAAACAGAGGTTTGAGTCAGTAAAATATTTTCAGTTGCAACCAAAAAAAGGAAATTAATTTTCATGTAATGCATGCTACCGAAACAAGGAAAACATGGATAAGACAAATACAGTAAGTGTATCTTATTTCTATTCTTATGTCTTGGGATTAAGAAAGATTAAATATAGAATGTGTCTCATATGTTGCAAAAGTAGACCTATCAGTGGCTGGTACTGTCAGTGTAAAGTAGATGTCCAGACAGTTTGAAGTTGTGCACATATAACTTCAGTCCTGTGGTATATGGTGCTTGCCATAAGGGAGAGATACAATTGAAAATTTTGTTGTGGAGGAGGCTGTTTGGATGCCTCATATTTACCAACATCAAGTGATGGCGTCTGAGAGAAAATAACATAATACATAACCCCTCCCTCTCTTCTCTCGGATTTACAAAAAAGAAAAAAAAAATTTCCCAAAAAATTGTGCCACACCACAAATTTTAAGTATTTAACATATAACTATTTTACACCACCAGACACGAAACTCATTTAAGTTATATTTATGCTAAACAAATTGCTCTGATTCATTAGATTGCATGCAACAGGTAAATCTTCCCCTCCCCCCCCCCCCCATATATATGAACATTTTTTTTTGCACAAATGCATTAATGAAAGCATACTCATGATTGATAAGCACAATCTACAATCTAGGATAATAGTGAAAAAGCACGTACCTCATCTATGGGATATTTCCGCATCACCTCTAATCACAGCCTGATAGAGCAGTATCAAGGCCAGATGAAACAATGGAAGAAAGGCTCTGAAAAATCATTTTTGTCAGAACGGTGTTACTTCATGCTATATTTTGCATTATTTTCAGCTGTCGCATAAAACTTGGGTTTTTAATTGTATGGTATGTCCCTACTCTATTAACCACTGGTTTGCCTACAATCATACAAAATGTAGTACTGATGTTTGTGGTTTGCGTTCGGTAGACAATAAAGAAAAATTCAAATGACCGCGTTAAAAACTCTATTCCGTTTTTTCAAGTGAACCGAGTTATAAATTTTATCTTGTTGCATGGTTTTGTGACCATGAATATGCAGGTGCTTCCTTCTATTGACAGAAATCTAGGGGAATGCCCGTTTTTAAATAGAGGCGGTGACCTTTCAGTCCAATACAGAAATAAAGGAAAATCTCCTTAACCCTTAGTATTGAAAAAAGTCGAACGTCAATACTACTTAGGCAAATGTTAAACAGCAACTGATTTTTTCTACGTACTTGCTAGAATAGAGATCTTTAAAAAAATATTTAACCGATTATAGCCTTCACTTATTAAAAGTAGTAATGATAAATTTATACATGTCGATAACTTAGTCTCGCAGTACTCTATAGACAAACATATTGAGAAATGATTTAATAATGCTTTATATTCCTTAGGTGTTTATCACGTGGCATTGTATCGGTTGCTATCCCCAACAAACAATCAGAAACAAACACGCCCTGAACACAAGGTCACTCAAAACTGATAGACAATGCCGAGTACAAAGGAGATAAATACGCATTTTTCCTCACTTTTCACTCGTTTCTTCATTTCACCATCCCACAAGCAAGAAATCACCTACCTTGTTAGAAACAACCGTGTATCCTTATAACACCTGGCCGATAGATGTGGTGTTTACGCTGTCAGGAATGTTGGGAAACTCGTTTTCAGACAGAGGCAGTGACCTTTTTTGTTAACACGCCAATAAATGAAATACGCTGGAATGGGTACATGTTATATTTCCTAACATGTGTGGGGATTTTTTTTTTTACTAGAAAAATGACTGTAACTCAATAACATGTAACCAGATTTGGTGTTGTAGAATACACTTACATTACTTTTAATTTAGCATTGACCTGTCACAGTATTCAGCACAGGTGAAGTGAAATATTTATCCTACCTACAGCTCTACAATGCTGAGACGTCAATAGAGAACAATGGAAAAGGGGATTCCCCTAAACTAAGGTTGAAATATACGAACAAGGGACAGCTGTAAAGTACAACTTTTCGATTTAAATAAATAAGTAAAAAGTCAATTACTTAATTGAAGACACGTTAATTAACAAGGAAAAACAAAAACCCATTTTTTATCAAATAATGTGATCTCCTTCAAAACGAGAAACATCAGGTCGCATTTTCTTTTAATTTTAGTTCTAAACCCCGTGCATCAACGTTTTACATTTAGCATTTAGCCTGCATAACATCACAAAAGTGTGGACGGTCTGTTGATCTTGAAGTGCGGTGCATAAAGACATTTGTATAAACCTTTTCAAAATCAATAACGGTATACATTCTCATAAAAAACAAAAGTTGCGTTATAAAGACGCTCTGTTTGAAAATAGAAACAATAGTTAGAAAAACAGTAGTGTTGTTTAACACCTCCTCCCCCATGCCCCCCCCCCCCCCCCCCCCCGAGGAATATATAGTATATAAATGTGTGTGTTTGTGTGTGTATGTGTCACAGGCCAGATCCCAATTTGATCCAGTTTTAACAGTTTGAAAATAACTGGCCTATACCATATACCAATTAGGTCTCAACATTGATAACAGCATGGTGAGCATGTAAATAGGCCAAGTAATTTGCAGGTGAGCTGCCACTGTTTGCATGATATGTGTAATCACATAGGGGATGTCACAGATCAAGATGTCACAAGATATGTTATGATACTTACAGGTGTGGCACAAAAAATATACAGTGGGTGAAAAAATTGCACCATTTTTCTTTTATGGGGACAACGACTGGATTTGTTAGTTGTTTCAATTGCTATTTTACTGAAAACTAATTGTCTCAAGTTAGCGTCTTTATTTTAGGTATACAAAACATTGCATTGCCCTTAAAAAGCATGCTGTGTCAGAATAAAATATTTTATAGGATAGCTATGTGATCTCAGTATGACCACCATGGCATTGACTGATAAAAGTTCATCAATTTTCTGGGGGCTAAGTTGGCTCAGGCTCTGAAGACACTTTGGATTGCAGCGTTTCTGGTGAGGACGATCCTTTGCTACTTGATGTCCAAAATCGTGCCACAGGTTTACAATGGGGTTTGCGTCTGGTGATTGGGGAGGCCAGTCCACCCTGTTTATACATTGCTGGTTAAGCCACTCTTGCACTGCCCTGGCCCTGTGTGGTGTAGCGTTATCATCCTGAATCATAAACAGATGTCCCCAAAATGTTTTCTATCGACGCTAAAAAGGTGCTTGTTGAGAATTTCAATGTATCGCTCGTGATTTTTAAATAACTTAAAAGTTTCCATTTATCAACACCAGCTCAACAATACGATAGAAACCAGAAACCAATGCACCGCCATATCATTATTTGAAGTTGACTGTCTAGGGAAGAAATGCATATTCTCTGGCAGGTGATAAGTGGATGATGTTCGCCATACACTTAATTGTCTTCCCACATTGTTAAGTGTGAATATGGACTCGCCAAAAAAAAAAAAAAAAAAAAAAAAAAAAAAAAAAAAAAAACTGTCCATGTAATTGTTCTTGTAGCCCATGTCACTCTCCTGCGTCTGTTTACTAAGGCTGCAACCCTGCTGTGAAAACCTGAAGCAGGAAACCATCTTAGTACAGTTATTTGCTCATCTCAACCGGCAAACTGCGAGACCACTGCAATGCTAATTACCTGCTTTAGCTATGATTAAACATTCCTTTGCTGGATATTTTAATCAATCTGTTTTAATTTATCACTGTTATATTGTATAAATTTTTAGGATTTTTTTTTTTTTTCTCTTTCAATACGTGTTATCTTTCAAATTTATCTTCAGATGAATACAACTATTTCATTTGCCACACCTGTTATTATTACTATATATGCCTTAATCTATTAAATCCCCTATTTAATTACACGTGTCATGCAAACTGGCCGTTGAACTTTAAAAAAAAGTGGGATTTTTTTAAAACGTGTTTGAGTTATAATGTATGACTTTGTCAAATACCTAATCGAAAAGAGCAACCCACCCATTGTAGGTGACTGATTAGGAGAGAGATTCTGGAGAAGTTACATGACACCGTTTCGACCTTCCTGTGTGAAAATCAGTGAAAGTCGTCGCAAGCACTAACTTCAAAGGCTCGTGAGGACTTCGTATATGAAACACACCATTTGCCATGTTCATCTAAACATGACCTTAACATAAAAACTAAGACACTTTCCCCTCTAGAATTATTGTTCGGATCAATACTTGTTAGTCTCTCGCAAGCATATGCATTCTCTGAATATCGATTATGATACTCTGTAAACGCACTAATGTAAACTTCAAATTATGAAGTGTTTATAATAAACATACTTATTATTTTTATTATTTTTTCGACTAAGGAAAAGTATGTGGAAATGCATGGCCAATCGACAAGTGATACAGCTTTTTTTCTCCTCTCTTTTAATTCACTAAATAATTGAACGACATTTTACATGAGCTTGGCCCATAAATATATTATGAGAGCTGAGCTCAGGCCATCGATCATGCGATCTGGAGGAAATTTGTTATATTGTCATTGGTCAAAGAGCTTAAAGCTTAATGATGAAAATTAATTGGTAGATTTTCGATTTACTGAAAACCACAGATATTGATCAAGTTCCACCCAACTTAATTGACATAACAAACTACAATGGACTTTTTTCGATATGTTGTTTTTATAGGTGATATCGACCCAAATCGCTTTCCAGAAGATCAATTGGCAGAATAAATAGTTCATTTTGCACCCTTAATACTGTACGATCAAAAGGCTGGTTGTGAAAAATGTACCCTGTAACTGCCTGTGGAACTTGAATAATTATCCATCCTCTACTTTCAATAGGTCTCCAGTTGAGGGAAGTTGTCTTAATGCACCGGGGGCTGTTGTAAAGTAAAGAGGGGGTTAGCTGGTAGGGGGGGGGGAGGGGGGAGGGTGAAGATGTCGTTGTGATGTTGGCGGTGCTTTGTGTCTGTGCCGTGTATGTCTATGTGTATATTTGTGTCCGCGCGTGCGTTTATGCGTATGTTTGTGTGTGAATATGTATTGCTAACCTAACTCGACTTTTACTTTTACTTTATACAGTATATGCCGTATTTTTTACTTTATACAGTATTACATGTACAGTATTTCACTTATTTTTACTTTATACACTTTTTGGCTTATTTTTATTTTAAGAAGTATATGGCTAAGGGACCATTCCCCCAGATATTTGGATCGATCTATCTCCCTGGGGAGTCTCACTAAATTGCTATCAAAATAATCGGCTTAAACGTCTGTCACGCCTAGCAAAAATGTCAGGGGGTATTGGTTGACAATATAATTTAATATGTTGTATGTAAGCCGTATAGCGCTATACGCTGGATAAATCAGCTTATACGGATCTTATAATACGGGTTGCATGAAAGCCGTATAACTAAATTTATACGGCGGATAAATCTGCTAAACGGTCGGTTAATGTTATACGTTTCAGGGAGGTCGTTTAAATAGCTGGGACCGTAGCAATAGTCCGAAGGTTCATTGGTCCGAATATTCACTATAGAACCTTCGGACCAATGAACCCTTAATTAAAAAATCGATGAAAATGTTACCACTTTTCGGACCAATGCACCTTCGGACCAATGACCCTTCGAGACGCCCCCAAAATAGGTATACAGTGGATAAAAATGGCGAAACTGCTGAGGTTTCACAGAAATCTTCAGCAGTATAATCCACCTAGACAGAGGAGAGAGAGGAATTTTGACTTTGGTAGCTATAGTGACTCTGAACTGCGTGCAAAATTTCGTTTTGGCAGAGAAGGTATTAATTTGATAGAGAAAATGTTGGAAGAGGAACTGCAGCCTGCGGCTGGCAGGAGCAGTTCTCGCTCGGTGAGAGAACAACTAATGCAATCTGCTTTAACAATTTTCTATGAATAACAAAAACATTGCAGAACCCCATGATTGAAAAAGTTAATTCTCATTTTAAACTGTGGGAATGTGTTTTAAAATTACTTTGTTTTCTTTTTATTTGGTTATACAAAAGTAGGCCCCTATTGACTGCAAAGTAAATAAAGACTAACGTGATGGAATTAAATGCTAATGTATTAACTATTTTTTTCTTATTTTCATCACCTTATCATATTCTATCTCATAAATGCAAAATGAATATTTGATTATTTTGAAAGAAAAAAGAAAATGTTGTATAAATGATATGCTTTCACCATTATTATTGTTTTAATTATTGTCTCCCCTTCCCCCTTTTCAAATCATTCTCTATATTCATTTTTTTTTTCTTTTTTAGGTAGATTTACAAATATTGTCTCCCAGTGGCCTGGAAGTGTCCACGATGCGCACATCAACTCAACACCAGCAACCAGGGGACATATTTCAAAACTTTTCAAACAAACATTAATATTTCACATATATGTAGATATAAAAGTGTATAAAAGAATATAATATTCACATGTAAAATTATTCGTGAACAACAATTAACACTACGAGTTAAAATGAATTTTCAACTACAATGCATTTGGAGTATATATACTGACTTCTGTGGACGTGTATATAATCTCAAAGTGTTTGCAAGTTACTTTTGTTCATTTCAGTGTTTGATTGCAATATAAGGTCATGTATTTGAGAAAAAGATGAACAGTCCATAAATGCTAAATAAAAATAAATTACATATAAAAATTAATTAATCTACTGTCAATTTCGTGGATTTGTTTTGTCAGTAA